CGAGCTCTAGAATCTTACTAGAAGTCAAAATTAGGCAATAGTGAAAAGGATAAGAGCAAATGAGGACAACAAATATATTCAATCAATGGTCTCAAAATTGGATTAAGCATAATTTATGCTAACCACTGTTGAAGAATCAAAACTGTTGAAATTATTTCACAATCTTTATGTATTGTGGTGATATGGATCTCTTTCAAATCATTTATCCAGTTAAAGGCTCGAGAACAACATCTCTTTCTCTGTCTCTTATCATTTTACTTATAATTCACATTTGATTGTGTTCTTTTGGATGGATTTATTTGGAAATTCATCGTTATTTGAGCTGAAAATAAGAGATGTACATGACCACTGAAGAAAGCCACCACAATTGGTATTGGAGGGAGACAATTATACATTAACCGAATCGTTAAAACGGCTATGAACCACGCATTTTGTTTTATAGATTAATTCAATTAATTACGATTATTACCATTAACAGAGAGAGAAACCGATTATTCACTTGAGACTTTCATTTGAACTATTAATTTGTAATTAATGGACAAATTGCCAACAAAAAATTTCCAATTTTCAAAGTCTGGTCTTGCACGTGGTGTTACCTTGAAACTCCTTGTCAACATTATTGACATTTGACGGCATGCCCCTGATACGTGTTGGATGATATCATTGTTTTTTAATATATATGTCAAATTATAACCTTTATATTTAGGGTGCGGTTTGTATAGAGCCTAGGCTCTGAATAATCAAATTAGAATCAACCTTTAAATAGTATCGATAAATGTGGTTTTAATATTGAAAATCTTTGTAATAATTTTAAAATATATTTTCATATTCATTTATAAAGTTTAAAGCTTAAAAAATAGTATAGATCGACAGATCTATGAAAATCTTGAAAATTGACAGTCCAAAGACATGTTACAAAATACACTATTTTCAAAACTTGAAATCCATTTTTTCTTATGTTCGTGCATCTTGATGTCGAGATGATCGATTTGAAGATATTTGGGCATCAAAACAACCTCTTCTGGTAAATTTTTTTAGGTAGGGTCAAATTTAATTATTTAGAACCTCGACTCTGTATAAACTTTTCCCTTATATTTATAGACCTAATTTTGTTCCATAACAAGTCCATAGTTTAAACATTGTCACTTGCGGCTTCTTTTTGAAATATCACATTGACTAGCACCTTCACATCTATCCCTTAAGTGTCATGTGCTTGTTGCAATGAAGAGGAAAACTATATTGTGTAGTTATATAGTAGTGGTTTTATTAGTTATTGGAATATGTATTTAAAGAGACTCGAACTCGTCAACCGCATCCCCACCGAAGGCTTTTCTGTGTTAAAAAAGATAAACTATATTATAAAAAATAATATATTTTTATTTTTTAAAAAAAATCTAAAAAATAAGTAAAAAATTACTCCCCTAGGAAACTCATAAACACCAATGCACATATAATGCTATTCCTAAGCCTCACAATTTATGAGCACTCTCAGTTCCCCACGACAAGTGCACTCTTTTCAAATTCAATAGCATAAACAAATCAAAAGGCACTCAATATTTGGTAAGTGATTTCAAGGGCATCCCCAAGTTACTCTTCCAAAACACTTATTTTCTTTGTTTGTTGCATATCCTAGGCTCTCTCTCTACTTCAGTTTATCTCTTTAAATAATTCTCTTGCTTTACATATCACTATCTTTGTATGTGGGTTTGTTAATGGGAAAAGGTTTTTATATTGTCCCTACTTCTATGCTTTCTCCATCCAGCCATCCAATTTAGATTAAGTGTGTCATTGACCGTTTGATCTAGATCTGACATCTCAGAGTATTTTATTTTTAGTTATTTTTTATAAATTATATGAATATAAAATTTGGTATGTGCCATCCTTTGAATCGGGGTGCATCTAAAAAAAATATTAAAAATAATTTTTCAATAAAATATAATAACCAAAATACCCTTTGAAACTTTTAGAAGTATTTTAGTTATTTTATTTTATTAAGAATATTTTTTTTTATATTTTTTACACGTGCAAATTTAATAGAGGAGAAGACGCCCAAAATTTGATATCAAATAGTTTGTAAAAACAAAATTAATAATAAAGTAATGTAAAAACGTGACACTATAATTGGGATTATCTCCACCGTTCAATGGGGCATATAGATAGGGAAAAAAGCATACAAGTTTTATGCATTAGGGTGGATAAGGAAAAAACCATACAAGTTTTATGCATTAGGGGGCATCTTCATTGTGTAAAGTTTTCTTGAGTGGATAAATATAAATAATAGCATGGATGGAAAAAGAAGAATGGGTTTTCTCCCACTTATAGGTAGTTAAGTTAAAAAAAAATAAAAATAAAAAATAGAATGAGAGTATTTACTTATTATACAAGGTAGTCATAATTAATCTGGTCTATTAAATGTGAAATTGGGTGGCTCATCCATCCAATTAAGCAAACTCAAACTTTGATTTAAAACTTGGTGACACCCAAATTTTCAAAATTTCACAGGTCGTAAGTTAATCTCAATGTATACAATCCCTTGAACGGTGACAAGTGGGGAAGTCGGAACTTTGGGAGTATGGAAAAACCTCCCTTGTGTAAAGTTGCTGCATGGGACCTGCCCTGCAATTTTGGGGGGAAATTGGAACTCAAGCGAGCCCTGACCCTTCTATTGGCCCACTAGCTGGCCCGAAGTTCACTCTCTCCTTGTCGTTCTCACCATCCAGGAACCCTACTCTCTCGCTCTGGACAGGAGATACCTGGTACGCTTGCTCATCCATCTCTCTCTATCTCACTCTTGGTTGTGGTTTATTTGTTTCTCTCTAGAATTTTTGAGACTGCCTTTTCTCAGCCCCTTTTTGTGTTGTCTCTAGATGCTTCATATGAGTTTGAGTCTCTCTCTAGAACTTTGAGATGATTTTGGTCTATCTCTCGACATTGTGGTTTAAGGTTTCATTGGTTTCTCTCAAGAGCTTTAACAGGGATTTTCTGTTAACGTTCGTTTTGCTATAGAGAATGCCCAAATGTGATAGGGTTTTCTGTTAAAGAGATTATGCAGAATATCAATTTAACATAGTCAAGTTGGTTTATTCTACTTATTTATCTGAAGAATCATTCACAGGTTTGTTGTCTAGTTTCTTTTTTTTTTCTTCAAATTTTCCACATATTCGATCTTTTTACCATGAATGGCATGCTCATATTGGTATTTTTTTTTTTTGCCTCTGTGTTGTGATTATTTTTGTGGATTATTTGCCTCTTTGAGGTGCTATTCTTTTGTAAATGCATTTGTGGGGTGGAATTTGGTCATGTTTTGGTGTGATTTGATTCTGGTTTTTCATGATCTGCTAATAGTTGGAGATCTCGTTGATATGAACTGTGATGTTTATTTGTGTTTTATTGCATTATTCTGGTAACTGAATTAATATTTTGTACGTTGCAGAACTCCTTGTTTGTTTTATCCACTTTTTACTTTGCCACTTCTAGGGTTTTATTATCTATTTATTGTTTTATTGCTTTGCTATTTCTGTAATTTTTCACATCTTAGGATTCTTCCATGAATATTTGATTCAGTTTATCCATGATTTATTCATCATTAGTGCTTATTTTTTTCTTATGCATTTTTTTTGAAATTTCTGCCATGTATAAGTTGATCCGTCAATTATTTTGTTTCACAATTTTTGTTGCTAATTATTGCTATTGTTATGTAGAATTGGGGTGGACTCTGTGGTTCAAATGAGTGGTTGGATTGGAATTTGTTCTCCTTTTGTTTGGTTTTCTAGGAGAAATTATTTTGTTAATTTCATTCGTTCGATTGATCGAGTTTATTCTTGGTTTTTTGGTTGATTTTATTCTCAATGACTTATGTTGGACTAAGGAATTTTCTTGAATAATTCATTCAGGTAATTTGTGTGTAATTTCTAGAAATTTTTTGTTTCTATTGTATACATGGGTTTCCACTCCTTTTCTGTTAATTTTGAACTTTGGCATGTAGCTTTTATGTAATTCTCTATTGAGCTTGCTGAGATTACTAGTGCAATCTCTGCCTTTCTCTTCAGCATTTCTCTACCTCTTATGAATCCATTGATTCTCATTTCATCTTAGACATAGCGAGAACACAAGTCAAGTGGAATTGAATGTAAGAATTGTGCTTCTAGTTGTGGATATACTCTGCCTTTTTTTTGGGATCTAGCTGTTCAATGAACATTGCACGATATAAGAACAAATTTCAATCTCAACCATTACATTTTATGAGATATGCATTAGATGGTTTGTAGTAAGAAAATCATATTCAAAATTTGCATTTTGTACATCAAATCAATGAAATACATAATGAATGACATGCAGTTTCAATCTTTCACAATATCAAACAGATGAAAATAACGACACCACAATTTATCAAACAGGGTTCCTAGCTTTCAGGCTACCGATTTTCACTTTTCTCCCATATTCTAGGAAAATCAGTTGCTGCGGTTTTCCTTAGGAAACTACTGAGAAAGTTATCAAACACACTCTTAGGGCGTGTTTGATGATAGGAACTTGCTTCCCAGAACTTGGAAGTTACCTGCTATTGTACATGTTTTTTGTTTGATAAAAAAAAGGAAGTTAAATATGAGAACTTCATATTACTGTAGGGGCCCATTTGATAATAGGAAGTTACTTACCAGAAGATGGAACTTACCTGTTACTATTCGGGTGTGTTTGATAACTAGAAGATATTTACCAGAAGATGGAACTTACTTGTTCATGTAGCAGTTTCATGTTTGATAAAAGGGTGTGGTTTCTATAAGGTTGCAACCTTAAACAATCAAATTAAGGCGCACCTCCAAAATTTATCATGACATGTAATTTTGGTGTAAAAAATTCTTAGGATTATCTCAAAATCCATTTTCATATCTTATTATAAAAATTTAAGCTCCAAAGATGGTAAAAATCAAGTACATCTATATGAAAATCTTGAAAATGGTTGGTCTAGATAATGTGTTGCAAGATGCACTATTTCTGGGACTCAAAATCTTTTTTTGTTTTCATATTCATACATCCTGATGTCGAGATGATCAATTAGAGGGTTGTTCAACATTAAAACAACCTTTTTCGATGGATTTTTGAAGTGTATCTTTAATTCTACATTTTAAGGTTGCAACCTTATATAAACTTTTTCCTTGATAAAAACAAAAGTTAAAAAAAGGTAACTTACTGGGAACTTACCTGTTACCTCTTTTTAGGCTTAGAAAAAGTTCCGCATAAAAACACGGAACTTGAAAAGGGAACCTCGCTGAAGGGTAACACCCCCGACTGCTCTCGCAAAGAAGAGGGTATTTGCTTGCCCCCGACTGCCCTAATCACAGAGCAGAGACCATCTCGCACCTACGAGCCTCCTCACAAAGGTACATCTCAATTTTCTCTCTCTGGTGTTTCTCTCTCCCCTGATTTTTGTCTCTCTTTGGTTTTTTTCCCTATCCCATGGTTTTTTTGCTCTCTCTGATTTTTTTTTTCTCGGTTCCAAACATGGTGAGAATGAATCTAGGGTTTTCTTTGAATATTGTTTTGTGGTAAATTGTTCTTTGTAAGGAAAAAATAATTTGGCTGTTTTTTTTTGGCAGGCATTTCTCTATAGAAACCTTGCCCCTCATCCCTCCCTTCAAGCCTTCCTCTCTCCACTCCAGCTAAATTTCACAGTTCTCTCATTTTCCAACTCTTCTTTTCATCTGGTTTCTTCTACTACACAGGAGACAATCATAACCATTATGTGTCCCCTTTTTCTTTTTTTCCTTTTTGAGATTGTTATCATCTGAAAATGAGATAATCAATGAGATTGCTTAAACTTGATTCATGGTTAGCTTATTTTTTTCTTCATTGATAGTTCTTTTGTTGGTCGTGAAGAAAAGAAAGAAAAAGAATCGCGGTATTTCTTTCCTTTTTGCCATAGGTTTAGATTAAGCTTACTTTTTATTTTTCGATATCAAGCATAGAGTTTTATCTGACCATTGAGAATGTAGTTATAGAATCAGCGAACAAAAAAAGAAAAACAACTTGTTATAGATTGACTGGAATTTTTTGCAAATAACAACATTTCTCAACATCGTTTTAAAATGTGGCCACATTGCCTCATATGCGGCCGCATCATGCGGTATGCGGTGGGCTCCGCATCATAACTGACCGCATATGCGCTTTTGACCTATGCGGCAGCATAGGCGCCGCATCAGGCCGCATCGTAGCCGCATCCCGCATCACAGCACATCCCACTGCATCCCCTTCTGCAGAAATTTTTTTTCGATTTTGCCCCTCGGGGAGGGGCAAAATGGTCTTTTTGACCATCCAAAAATGGGGGAAACTGTTTGGGGGGTGTATTAAACCCCCTAAACGATGATTTCCAGCCACTTTTGAGCTTTTTTTGCATCAAATCGAAGGAAAAAAAATTTTGGCGAAAATTTTTCATTGAAATCTTCGATTTGGCGGTTGTTTGATACTTGGATGTTGATTTGATGCTTTTGATTGTTAATTTGGGGATGTTAGGGTGAATTTGTGATAAGAAATCGAGGGTTTCAGAGGCTGTAAAGAAATCAAGTACTGCTTCACAGAGTCGATAACTTTTTATTCCTTCTTGTACAGTAATACTGTAATACTTATTTTTGGGGTATTGTCTTCTTCCCAATGTTCTAGTAATAAGGATCTGGCTTGGAAATATGCTAAACTAAAAAATCCGAAAGATAAAATTTGTGTGATATGCTTACTCTGTGGAAATACTTATATGGGTGGTATTTTTCGACAAAAAGAGTACTTAGCCGGATTTTTTGGGAATATAAGAGCATGCTCACAAGTTACAAATGATATAAAAAAAGAGATTAGAGAATATTTGAATAGATTGAAAAAAGATAAAGAGAAGAAAAAAATGAAAAGAAAAGAATTACTTGATGATGTGCAATTATTTGATGATGATGGTGATGATGATGATGATGATGATGATATGTCTGAAGTGGCTATGAGGCAAAAGGGTACTCGTACTCCAATCTCAAGAGAGGGGGTTATAAATAGTGGTGGTAGTGTTGAAAGAAGAGCATCTCTCACCCCTAGCCCCGAAAATGTGGTTTAGGAGAGTAAAAAGAAGAAGACAAACCACAATTGAAAATAGATATAAGAAAGAACAGAGGAAGTCGGTATGTAAGTGAATTGCAAAGTGGATTTACATGGCCGGCATTCCTTTTAATACTATAACTCTGGATAATTTTGCATGTATGGTCCATGCAATATGGCCCAAGACTTGTTCCTCCTTCATTACATAAGTATAGGGAGCCCTTGTTGAAAGATGTTGTATTTGATGTGAATAAAATTTTGATTTCTTAGAGAGAAGGGTGGGAGAAATATGGGGCCACTATTATGTGTGATGGTTGGTCTGATGGGGCCACTATTTGTGCTTATGGTGCTTATGGGATCTTTTTGTTTTGATGTCCATTTCCAGGAAGTTCCTTAATTTAATGTTTTGGGATTTCTTTCAGACTCCCAATCTGAGGAAGTGCCAGTGTTTTGTCTTTTAGGGTTCTTCTTAGAACCCAATTTCAGGAATTTGCAGAGGGCATTTGTTGTGGCATTTAAGGGCTTCTAATATTCCGGATTACAAGAATAATAGCTTTTTCATATAATTCTTATTATAGTAGAGGTACTGACAAAAATAAGAATAGAAGGTCCGATTCTTTGAATTTGTGCTGGTTAGCAACTTAGTATATGGTATACACCATTGGAAAGAGGAATCACTAGGGGCATCTGCTTTCTACTTCTCTCTCTAACATTCCTTTACCTGTCTAATGTGTTGTGTTAATTAATGCCATTCTTTGCTTCCTGTCTCCCTTTATGCTCTGAACACTTACTTTTCCTGTTTGTGGGGCATTAGCAATGAGTCAATCTAATGGTGGAGATGTAAAGCTGGGAAGGCTCATTTGTTCCTTGTGTCCTACAAGAAATTATCAGTTGTTTTTCCAGTCCTTTCTAATTCATAAGTTTGGGTAGGCTTGCATGTTAAGAATATTTCGATACTTGGAAAATGGCTGGGCTTTATCTGGTCAAACTGTCGATACTTCATCAATGTTGATACAATTGTAACTGATTATACCTATGTTGGTTATAACAAAAGTGATATCATTGTAATTGATGTTTATGGTTGACTAGGTTGTTGAAGTGAACATGCAATTAGATGCTTGGAATGCATAAATAAAAAAATTAGATTGTTTTTGCGGAAATTATGAAAATATATGTATATACTTGAGTAATGAATAATGTGTAATGCTTTTTAGATAATGGTGGGCTTGATTGTAATTGATATTAATATTAATGGCTGAGTAGGTTGCTGAAGTGAATAGTTAATTAGATGCTTTAAATGCATAAATGAAAAAATCAGATTGTTTTTGGGGGAAATTATGAAAATATATGTGTATACTTGAGTAATGAATAATGTGTGTAATTCGTTTTTAGATAATGGTGGGCTTGATTGTAATTGATGTTAGTGGCTGAATAGGTTGTTGAAGTGAATAGTCAATTAGATGCTTTGAACGCATAAATGAAGAATCATATTGTTTTTGGAGAAATTATGAATATATATATATATATATATATATATATATAC